TATCCAATTCCACCTCGCCGGACCTCGACCACTACTCCTCGGAGCACCAATAGGTCTAGTCGTCGAACCCGCACTCCTGCTGCTTGAGTTACCATTCTGCCCCTGACCGCCATCCACGGGCAACTCGAACCTACAAACAGGGCAGGAGTTGTGCATCCTCAGCCAGGGCAGGATGCAGTCGGAATGGTACGCGTGCTTGCACGGCATCTCCCTCGCCTCCTCCCCGACCTCGAACTCCTCCTTGCAGACCGGGCACTGCGACCCGTCCCGCAGGTGTCCCCGGACAGCCGACCGCCCGCGCTAAGGCCTCGATGGCCGAGGCCGGGGCCGGCGGTGGGCCCGGCCGGTCGTCCGCGTGAGCCCCTCGATCAGCTCCGGCAGGCCCGCCCGGCGTGGTAGTCGCCCGGGTCGGCCCGGGCCACCGGAGGCCGGGCGGGCCGGCTCCGGCTCGGTGGGCCGGGGGAGGGGAGGGGCGGCGGGGACACAAAGAGGGGGGGAGGGGGAGCTCCAGCTCGTGGAGGAAGTGCGCCGTAGCAGCGGGGCAGAAGGAGACGGCGAAGGAAGGGGAGGAGATTACGCGAACGGAGCGCTGGCACTCGTAGCACCAGAAGAGGCGGCACGTGCGGCGGGGGCGGAGGGACATCGTGGGCACCCTTGGGATTTTGATAAGGGGGAGGCGAGTTTGGCGCGAATTTATCAATTTTGGGAGAGAGAGAGAGAGGGGGGCTGCTTTTGGTGGGGATGAAGGAAGAGATTCTGGCTGGGGGCTTTTCGCTTTCTTGATTGGAGCAGTGACTTCCATCGCAATCTTTCCCTTTGTTGCTAATCGGAGAGAAGGAAGGTTTGAGGGTGAAGAAGAGCGAGCAAAGAATGAAGATTGTCGTTGCGCGGGGGAAATTTCATCTGTACCCAACTTCTGGAACTGTTACCTTTTATACCCAGAAACTTTTTCAGGCATGAGTGATGACTGACATCTAGGGTGCATTGCCGTCCGGATACGGCTCGGATATGATTCTTACTATATCCTTTATTTGCTTACTTATCTTGGATATGGATATGGATACGAACATACCCCGGTAAGAAAAATTTATAATCATATTCGTTAAAATCTAGCTAGCAAAGAACGAAGATTCTCGTTGCGGGGAAAATTTTATCTGTGCCCAACTTCTGGAACTGTTACTCCTCATACCCAGAAACTCTTTTAGGCGTTCGCCTTTTGCTGCGTTAGGGTTGAAATCCCAATACCAATACCATGCGCAACCAAAACGCTGCCGAGGGTTAGATTTGTCTTTCCAAGTTTTTCCTAGTTTTCTCTTTTTTCACCAAAAACAACCCTCCATCTCCTTTCCCTTGTATCTCTCCATTATTATCTCGCGTTCTTTAACAAAATAACCATTCAACCTCTATATAAATTGCGATTATTGATGAAAAAAAAGAACTTTTGTAAAAAATGCTTATATACCTATGATTGTGACCAATGTTTTTCCTACTAATTTATTAAAAGTCAAGTTAAGTGTTTAGTCGTGTCCAAGCTATTCATAAAGATAGAACACATCAATTTATACATCAAATCTTGCTATCACTTTCAAATGATGGAATCTTTTGTTGGATTTGAGATGCAAGCTTAGGGTTGGGGGGCAGGTGGGTTTTGAATAAGGTTGCCTATCATTTTTCGATTTTAACGCAGATTATGCAGCGAAAAAGAACAAGTCATCATGGGCAACCCAAACGCCGCCGAAGGGGTTCGTTCCGGTGCTCGAAAAATAGGATTTCTTGAATTTTATAATTGGTAAAAATTTAAAAACGCGCTAAAATTATGGAGGGTTAGATTCGTCTTTCCAAGTTTTTCCTAGTTTTATTCTTTTTCACCAAAACTACCCTCCCATCTCCTTTCCCTTGTATCTCTCCATTATTACCTCGCGTTTTGTTTAAAAAAATAACCATTCAACCTCTATATAAATTGCGATTATTGATGAAAAAAAGAACTTTTGTAAAAATTGCTTATATACCTATGATTGTGACCAATGTTTTTCCTACTAATTTATTAAAAGTCAAGTTAAGTGTTTAGTCGTGTCCAAGCTATTCATAAAGATAGAACACATCAATTTATACATCAAATCTTGCTATCACTTTCAAATGATGGAATCTTTTGTTGGATTTGAGATGCAAGCTTAGGGTTGGGGGGCAGGTGGGTTTTGAATAAGGTTGCCTATCATTTTTTGATTTTAACACAGATTATGCAGCGAAAAAGAACAAGTTACCGTGATAAACAAAACAAAAATCAGTAATCAGCCATAGAAAGAACCAACTAGAAACAAGCGAGATTTTTATAGTGGTTCGGTAATCAATCCTACATCTACTCTTCGTTCTAGTGAAGGGGCTTCCTTACTATGACATAGTTCTCTTGAATCACAAACCCAATTCAGTAGACTTACAAGGCCACGCTATAATTTTAACTGAAAACTAGTCATCTAACCTAACTCTCCACAATTAGTAACTCCTAGCCCTGGCTAGTTCCCAAACCTCATTTCAACCAACTTGAGTATGACGTAAAAGAAGTTCAATATAAAGTAAAACCAAATAACAATTAAGCTCAAAATAAAACGATCTCACAACACTTTTGTTTAGCAAGCCATTCTTCAAATGATTGAAGTGAAGCTTGATGAAGAGCGAGGATGATGATGAACTCCAAAGGCCGCTCTTGTCGCTGTGAACTAGTTGGATGATGTTGTGTGCGGCGAGTCAACAGTTGATATGGCTCGAAGGGATCGAAATGTTCTCCTTGATCAACTCTCCCAAACCCTAGATCTCCTCTCTCTTTTTCTCTTCTAATTAGACCAGATGAAGACACACAAAAATGTAAAGAGAAGATCAACAGTTGATACGCAACGAAAAGCTAAGATTAAAATCTAAAATCTAGAAATATGCCTTTGAACAATCGATAGTGGCACTTGACTATCGATGATGTCAAAGTGACCATCGATGGTTGATGACCCTATGGATGATCTAAACCTCTTTAGACTTTTGATGATCAATGATCATAACACCATCGATGATCTCATGGTCACCATTGATGGTCAAAGTTGAACCATCGATGGTCCATATGCTGAAATATGCCTTTGAGCTAATTTTCAATTCTTTTTGTCTCTTTCTTGTTCCTTACATGTATATTCTTGTACTAGATCATCTCAAATGTACGTTAGACTAAAAAAAAATTGTTATTACTCAAGCCATTGAATGTGTGGCCGGATATTGCCTCGGGACCGTACGCTTTGGTTTATGTGCATCACTAGCTTATCAAAATCAACCCATTGAATGTGTGTCAGTCGTGATTAGACAATTGAGGGAGAAATTAGATCATGTTAGTGGTGTTTTATCTTCTGTATGGCCCATGATTATCTTCATATAGTCCACTAGTGCCTATGCTGGATTGTGTAGAGTTGGCGATGTGTCAGTTGGATGGGTTGAGTCATGGCTAAATATAATTACAACTCGACTAATCGAGCTGACCTTGCTAATAGTCGACGTCTAGATCAAAATAAAGTATATGTTTAAGTGTAAATGCATCTTTAGGTTGGGCCTCTTCCAAAGAATATTATGTCCTTTGCAAGAAAAGAAAATGTGTTGCAAATACTTATTTCTTAGATTTTCCTCTTCTTTAACCCACTTCTTTTGCTTTGTCAGTTGTGTAGTATGGCTAATGTCTCTGGGAGTTCATCTCTAGGAATGAGTCATCTTTGTTGACCAGTTTGTGCTTTTTTTTACCAACTACAAGATCCCCTTCAAAGTTTATTGAATCCTTTAGTCTGGATCTCTGGTTTGAGTTTGTTCAGGTTGTATTTTTTATTGATACATTTAATGGCATTCAGTGAGGTTGGTGTTATGCACAGAGGCTGGTGTTATTGCCGGAGATGTGTTAAGAGATTCGACAGTTGAATTCTCTTTAGAGGACGTATTTCATAGGTTCTTCAAGAGGTGATCTGATAGAGGTGTTTTGCTGAACGTGTTAGCTGGAGTCATCATCAGAGAAATATTGATAGCTTGATGGACAACTATTTTGGAAGAGATGTAATGTAAACAAATTTGAGATTTGAGTCCATTTGGCATGACTCTTATGTGGAGTTAGGCATTTGAGTCGGTTGATATCATTCAGAGGCGTACTTAGGAGCCTGATGATGTTATCTAGTGGTGGCTTTCAGTAGTGTACTGATGAGCTTACTAGAAGCTTGTCTTGAAAGTGGAGTAATATGTAATATTTCAAGAATTGATTCCATTTGGCATGACTCTTGTGTGGAGTCAATAGTTTGAGTCGATTGGTATCATTCTCAGGCAAACTAAGGATCTTGACGATATTATTGGGGTAGCAACATTCGAAGGCATACTGATGAGCTTGCTGGACACTTATCTTAGAAGAGGTATAATATAGAACATTTCAAAATTTTTCCCTATTTGGCATGACTCTAGTGTGGAGTTAGCTGTTCAAGTCGATTAATATCATTCAGAGGCATACTGAGGAGCTTAACGATGTCATATGGGTAGCATCGTTTATGGGAGTACTGCGGAACTTGATGATGTTTACCTTCCTACATGTGTACTAGTAATCATATAGCGTTCCCTCCTTGATGACTCTCATAGCTCAGCTTGAGTGTTGCGTTGGGAAGGGACATTCTCTCAAGGTCTATCTGGGCGCCTGTTTTAGAGCATTAATGAGCATCTTAGTCAAATCGTGCTGCCGTCACATGGATAGTCGGGGCACAGCTTTCTATTAAGACTTGATGTGGGCCATTCTTTCATTATTGGGTAGTCTAATGATCTTCCTTGAAAAGAGAAATTAGCGATTGGACTTCTTTTATCATAATTACGAGGTCGAATTATGAAGCAAACAAGCCACTTGTCGCATGCCTATTGGAGGGCTGAATTTACTGGATAGGGTGATGACATCCCCTTCCTTCACCCTCATGTCCTGATGGCTCGTATTTGCAT